ATGGTTAAAAAATAAAAAGTTGATCCCAATGAAATGCATGATCAAAATTAATTATTTATTGGGATCTCAACTTCTTCTTAGCAACTTTTTAAATTATACGAAAATAAGCACTAAGTGAAGTATAAATTCTATACATTTATTGGTATAATTATTCATTCCTATCTAATACCATATAAAAAAAATGCTCCAATTAATCAAAATTTGTATATATCTTGTAGATTATGCACACGTGACATAATTGTTTAAGAAGATTGAATGGTACTAAATAAAATTAAAATGTATTTATTATACTACTCAATCTTATTTCGTATATCAATAATATTGCAATGATATAAACATTCGTGGCCGGACGTTGATTGGATCTTCTTTTACGAAACCACCCGAAAAGCGCAAATGGAATTGACGATATGAAAAATATCCTAACAAAGTAATTCCTAGGAATTTATTTTGATTCCATTTCTCTTCAAAAAGAGCAAGCAAATTATGGGAATAATGAATTGTTTATTTTATTTTTTGCTTCTACCCTAGTTGTTACATGATAGTTGATGCTCCTCAGTCCCCACTTTGCTATTGAGTTACATTTTATGTCATGGAAGGCATTAAATAATTAATTCTTTTTTTATTATATTTTATATCTTTTGTACCACTTTATATTATCATGAGCTGTGCTCCCTGCACAGGGCCCTAGGTCTTGTGCAAAGGGCCCTGCACAGGGTGCATAACTATCCACCCACATGTGACAGTCTCTATCATGTGCAAAGTGGCCTGTGCAGGGAGCTTTTTTCATATTATCGTACCAATGTACAAAGCATTTTTTTTTTCTTTATCTATCATATGAATAGTTTATTTGCAATCATACTTGTCTTCATTCCTTCTTTTATAGATTTTGCGTGATAGTGTCACTATTGTGGAAAAAAATTATTACGTTTATAGAAAATGAAGGATGTTGAATTGCTTAAAACTTAAAAGTTAGTTTGTATTTAAAAAAAGAAGAAGATCAAAACTTAATTTTTTTCAAAAAATTATTAGTAAAAATATAATATTTAAAATTATATTTAATATTTTAAATAATTTAAAAGTTTCAAATGTCTTTTTCAATCTCTCTTAAGTTGGTGACAAGTCCATTGCAAATAAATTTTGATATCCATAAAAGTTTATGAAAGTATTGGGTGGAATAAATGGGTCCACAAAGGGTAAAAGGCATCTAACCCATTCTTTCTTTCTTTCTTTCTTTATTTTTTTTCTGGTCCAAATCGTCAAAAATTGGGAGTGTAGGTTGGATGAGGTGCAGTTGTTATCCATCTTCGCTTAATGTTTGATAAATAATATTGAATAAGAATGGACAATTTTTTCCATAAAATTTTAATTTCTTTTACTTATAAAATACTGTCCAAATTTAGTGGCGTCAACTAGTCTACGAATTATGATAGGTCATGTCCGGTTGGACCTTTCTGTCCAATGACTTATGAAGACATGCCTAGTTGGCTCAATTTATCAACCCAAAAAATGACATGTTCGCCCAACTTGGTTATGTTGACCATGGGCTTGCGTCGGTAGGTGTCAACCCACTCATTTTGACACCCTTATGTTTAATATTATGTATTGAATATGTACTTGTAAAACAAATATGGAACCCAATTTTAAATTGGATAAATGAAGAAGTTATTTCATCGCATCGAAATTTCATACATAAATATTGTTGATTCGCACACACTACGGCACAATTAAGCTAGGAATATCCGAAATTCAAAAGCAGTGGCTATTTTTCTCATCACCATTTTGGATGTGGATTCTTGTAAGTATTATTGAGGAGAATAAGGCCCATTTTTTGAGAATGGTCACAACCTCCATGGAATAAAGCAAAGAACTCTGTCTAAGGTTTTTAATGTAAAGAATATTCATTTTGTCTGGTTAAAATTTAGTGATTAGCTTCCTTATCAAATCATAGGTCAACACGTCACCGCCTAAAGTGCTCCATGAAATTGCGTGTCAACTCCCAATTGGAAATCCCTTTTTCCATTGCAATTTGGCAACTCTATTCTATGTGGTTAATAACTTCATTAATATTCTCAACTATTCAAAACGAGTAGAGCATGGAGCGATTTATGTCTTACGCCAAGGAGCGATGGTTTCGACTTTGGTCGAGACCAAAGAAAGGAAATGACTAAGCGAAAAAATAGAAGTTTAAATCTTGATTAATAATAAAAAGTCAAACACGTCCTTAATATTTAAATCGTTTATATTCAATCACCCTCCCATCGAAGGAACATTTATGTAAAATGTTGCTAAACATCTACAAGTAGGGGCATCAAAGGGAAGTCTCTAAGCTGGCCTTGCATGGGCGGGATCGAGCAATTTTGTAATATTTCTTTGTAAAAGAATTGTAGATTTTTTAGTTAAAAAATTATTTAAATTTTGATTTGCACGCTTAGCTGCATGCATTACTGCATTAACATTGCATTCAACCTCAATGCATAGAAGCATGCATTAATATTAAAAAGGAGGGAGAGGCCGGTTCTATCGGATCGAGGCTGTGTGCATATAAAACCGTCTTATTGAAACATTTCTCTTAAACTAGATGTATCATTTGACTTGAGTACATTGTCTAAGTTCCCCCAAGTATATAGCAAGCACAATGCAAGGCCACTCTCTACCAATTCTACTATTGTATGGAATAAGTGCAAAGTTTGCAAGTTGTAATTCGAAATTTTGTTCATGAATCGATTTGAAAGCATCATAGGACTGTACAAGCCATTTATTCCTCTCAAAATGTTTGACTCTGGGGCACAGCATACTAAGAAATTCAATTAAACTTAGCACAATCCAATACAACTAAGAATTGATTGAAGATATTAGTGTTGCTCAAGTAAACATTCGTCTATTCTCTTTCCCAAAAAGCTTAATAGAATATATCTTTATATAATGAAGCAAAAGCTGATATTCTGTCTCCCAAGTGATTATTTTTTGTGTCGTGAAAATAACGTAGAATGTGTTAAATAAGTTCGATTAGGCTTCCTTTTCATTGATTTATGTCATGAACAATAATACACTTCTCTAAACGAAATCAAAAGTTATTTGACTTAAAAGAACAGATTGGATTATGAGCTCCATCATAGAATTTGGACCTTTGTAGAGCAAACTTTAATGTATGCTAGAGGTTTGACCGGCCATCGGGGAAAAGATGCTGGTTAATCAAACTCAAAGAAGGTTCTATCGCAGTAGACACGTGCAAATACATACATATATACATACGATTGAGTTGGCGAAGCAAAGGATGCTAGTGGACATCTATCTTCAAATGGCTTTTGAATTATTGTGAAAAAAATGGAATCAAACCTTGCAAAGAAGAATGGAATTTGGCAATATATGTGCATTATAAGGAATTGATTCCCATGTGAACATTTCTCCTATTTTTTGATTTGAACATCAACCATGTGGACAAGTCTACTCATCAACGAGGGATATATGCACAGCTTATGTGGAATGCATGTGTGCCCGCTTGCAGGGCCGGCCCTAAAAATTTTGAGGTCCAAGGCAACGAAATATTATGAGGCCCCTAAATAAATTTTTTTACCGGCTTAGTAATCTCTTTAACGTCAAAAGAAAATTATGCCACACACCTACTTTTTAATAAATATTTGTGATTTCAACATTTTTTAACCATACATATTGTTTCTATATAGTAAAAATGAATGTGAAAAAGCAAACAAATAATCAGCTATTCATTATCCAGCTAAGATTACTTCAACAAACACGCCCTTATTATGTCAAATTAAAGAACAAAATCCCTAAATTAGCGTCCTTTCATATTCCACATCCAAAATCCCTAAATTATATTGAAACAAACATAGTGATATAGTGAAAATCTTGACAATATTTCATCAAACAATATGTGTATCGATCACTTTAGAAGATTAATATGGTTTAACATATGTGTTTTCAACGTAATAATATTTTTTGTAGTTGGATTAGCATGCAATGAATGTGTGCATTCATCATACTTCTTATTTTTTTGAACTAAATTCTGTTTATGGAAAGACTAGAATGAGATAATTTAAATTTACATCAGTTACAAATTCTGGTTTGGGATTTAATTTTAGATGCTAGTATTTTAAACATATTTAACCATCAATCTATTATTTTTAGTTAATATTATCATGACACAATAAGATGTGAATTAATATATGGATGTATATGTGAATTTTTCCGTTAGCATCAATGATGGTCGATTCAAACACAATTTCTCGTGATAAAGAACATTAAGCTGATGACACTCACTGACCATTTGATTTGTTCAAGAATCAAATTTCGCATTCAAGAAATAGAACTATAGCCTTCTGAAAACCCGTGAGGCATGTGAGTG